AGCGGGAGCAGTTTTTCAAATGCTCCAACCATGATGCCAGGAACTGCTGATGAGCCTGATGTATCTTGGGTTCAATCTCTTGTCAAGGATGCACCACCACCTTCGCAACTCGGGCAATTTGGTTTTGAGGATCAGCAGCAGCCGCAGTGCCACCCTAACAATGGAGGTCCAGAGATGCTCCCTGCTTGGGTGGAGCAGCTCTACTTGGAGCAGGAGCAGATGGTGGCTTAATTATAAGTTCAGTCCCAGGATTGCTCCTTTGTTAACCTTTAACGATATTAATTTTTGCCATTTTTTAAATTTTTATTGTATTCATCATAAGTAGGTTCAAGGAACTGGATAAGAGGGGAAATACCCGACGGAGAAAAAAGATAAGTCGTGCAGAATGCAAGTTCTGCTCATACTGTTTCCTTTTAATTTATCTAGTCTTCATTGTAGTTTCCATGTGAATCTCAAGCAGAAAGATGCTGGACTTGAGATGGCCTTTCACCTATGATAGCATTAATTTAGATATTGTTGGTCGGTTGTATACCTTATATCATATATATGGCCAGCTCGTAAACTCATGAATTTATTCATAAATTGATAATGTTCATACCAATTTGGCCAACTTTATGTTCTCATGTTGATTCTAATGTGTACCTTTTGCTAGTCAAGTGAAATATCAGTCGTTTTTCTTTTAATGTCTTGGAACCAATTGAAAATACAGTTCCTTACCCCAGCCCCCTCCCAAAATCTTGTGCAATCAACAGTGCACTGTTCTAAAGTTTTCTGCTTTCAAATTCCTTCATTTTTTCCATCTGTGGTTACTGCCATGGGGTTTCTTGTCTTTTCTGAAATCTGCATATTACTTTCGGCTTTCCAAAGGTGGATCTCAGTGGTTCTGTCAATTGGTGATATTTGTTGAGCACAAACAGATAAAGGCAAACCTACTTGCTCTACTTTTTTGGTCCTTGAATCTAACTTTAGTAGTTGGGCAATTGTTAGTGGTATGAGCACTGGAAAAAGGAAGGATGGTAGTGGCTTAGTCCCAACAGCCAGAGATGCCTTGGCCCATAAATATAGGTGGCGATTTATGATACGATATGATGACAATCGATTTGAACACTACACAAATAGGAGAGTTTCTATAATGAGGAGCTATGTTGAGGGGTTATAATAAATTCAATAGTCCAATAATAACTCTGCATGAATCGAACAGCTATTAAGGACCCTCTCACTATAACCCCTCATTCTAGCCTATCTGGACAAATATAGACCCCATGGATGCATGTTTAGCACAATAAACACTGCTCAACAAATATTATAATAATAAAATGCTAACCTTTCTTATTTTTTATTTATTAATAATATGAGTTATTGTATTATTACATTATTATTTTTGTATCATGTTGCTTACCCTGCTTATCGATCAAACAGGATGTTGACACGAACACTATACGACTACAAATGAATCAACCCAAATACGACCCATTGCCACCCATTAATCCGTATGTTCACACGAACACTACACGACTATAAATGAATCAAACCAAACACGACCCATTGCCACCCATGAGTCTCTACCTCTAAAACCAAAGCAATTTGAGATTCATCAGTCCTACCCACTGAAAACACATTGGAACTTTATCCCGGCCATGCCCATGACTGCCGCATCCAGTCCAGTCCGGACTGTACAGATGGTTGAGTGTTGATGGGCAGCATTCCCCTTTTATTTTAAACCATCACAAACAAGTAACCTAAAATTGATGTTCAACTGCCTACTTTGTTACTAGTCAAGAACCTCCTTTAATAAAAGGAAGAGGTACAACCAACTTTTAAACTACATGAGCTGGTGGTGGTGACATGTATGTGATTTCTACTGGTTGAAATTTTCAAACAAAAAAGCTTTTTTTTTTTCCTACCCTAAAAAGGCCCCTCCTGAAATTGTTCTTTTACCCTAGTGTACCAATTCTAAATCCACTTTGGTTTGCCTAAAAAACTTGACCAAGCATTTTAAATGAAAAATTGTTGCCTGAATTGATTGACTAGGACCAGCTTCCATTGCAGATGTTCCTCTGCTGGTAGAGAGGATAAGAATTAAGCACCTTTTTATAATGGCAAGTTTGAATGTTGAATATGCAGTCTACAAAGGGGAGGGAGACTAACCAAAAATCAAAGTTGAGCAGAAAGAGTGGGAGCTAGTGCTTTTTTATAAGGAAAATACTTACCTCCTTATCATGTAGTATGAGCTTTTACATTCCTGTCAATAATAGTGTAATGTGTGTGCAAAAGTTTTTCCTATGAATTATTTTTGCATATGTGTAAAATTATGATTCGTAGGAAAGAGGAGTATCTCCTTACAAGGAAAGAAACATTGTCTTTTTATAATGTCATGACTTTCAATCATGGTTGTGTCCAAAACTTGATTAAAATAATCTCAGAAAGTCATTGGTTTGAAGGTTGAGCTCTAACTCTTTTGATGACAAAGAGTTGAGTGGCAAAGTCAGAATTAAGTTGTTGTGCAAAGTTTTGAATCACATTATAATATTCTTGTTTTGGCAAAAGAATCACATTATAATATTGAATTTACAGAAGAAAAAAAGTGGATTGTCTTGGCACAGTAAAAGAAGGGGTAGAATAATTTTGTTAGTTTGGTTTAATTTTATTGTAATGCCAAAGTTACAAAGGTTTGTAAATCTTACAGGTTTTGAATTTTCAAGGGTAAGTCAGCAAATTGATCTACCAGCTCATCTAATAATTGATCAAGAATTTGAGACTCAAAATCTGCACCAATGCCTGCAGAACCTGCTTGGTTCCAACTGCCTTTGTTGTGTATGATCCAATTTGAGCTAACCAATTCATCTTCAACCAGCCTACAAATTTCCCCACACATCTCAATGTGCTTTCCACTGTGAAACTCTTTCTTCCTTGATCCGAGACATTTGCCCTCTCTTGCCTTTGTTCTTCTTGCATCACCAATTAAACCATTGTCTTTACATGGACAAGGCAAGCCTGAATCTTCTTGATCTGGTGTGCAACATTTAAAGTAATTTCAAATTTAAAACCATGCTATAATTGGTGACTGTATGAAACAACTATTTCAAGCTTAAGTTTGAAAGATGGTGTGTACAAAATTGAGGAGACAAACCTGAGGTAGGAGCTTCTGGATCAACAAGAAATTGACCACAATCAAGAACCGAAACTGGACTTAAATCTTCTGAGCTGCATTCAGATTCTACATTCTTAAGAACATCACAGATTGTAGGAATTGAAGCACTTTTTGAATCTTTAAGTATACCATTAATATTGCCAACTTTGTTACTGGGATTATCAGAGCTACTTCTACTTCTTCTGAGAATCTCCCTCCCATTCAAATCCTTCAAAACCCTTCTGCTCTTTCCTTCTTGAACTTGCTTCTTTTTCTTATCTGCCTCTCTTTCTGTTATGTTTTCATTGTTTTTGCTCTTCCCTGCTCTTTTCTGCTTCCCTTCTCTACAACCCATTTCGCCTTTCCTCCCTTTTGATCTCATTTCCTTGCCTTTGCTCTCATTCTCAAAGCTGAGAATAAAGAACTCCTCATTTTCAAGCTCAAGAAATGTTGGCATCTCTCGAAATGACTGCGTCGACTTGACCTTGCGATGTTGTGCCTGCATTGGCTCATCACCACCTCCAGCAAACCGGTCCACATAATTCATGGATTTGCTACGTGAAATTGAGTTAAGGGTTGACTCGCCGTTGACCAAGTTGACATCTGGAATTGAGTCCAACCCCATCAGCCTTGCCACTAGGCTTGGAGTGGCAGCGCTCTCTGTTTTCTCCCCAGTTTTCTCCATGGACTTGAAATCCTGATCCTTGTAAGACTCCACAGAATTGGCTGCTTGTTCTTCTTCTTCTGTGATATGATCAGAAGGGTATGTGGGGAAGCTGCCATAGCAGAGAATTCTACGGAAAATGCCAGCAAGGCATCCTGCAGCAGCGCCTTTTGAATTGCACATAGCTGCATCAAAAGCAGTGGAGGTTGATGATGATGAGGAACATGAAGAAAAAGAAGGGGAAGAGCTTGGCAACTTCATGTTTGAAATTGAGCTGATAAGTAGCAAAGGGAAGTAGAAGAAACAAACACAGTGAGTGAGTGAGTGATTTGAGTTGAGTTGGGTTTAGTGGAGTTTCAACTTTCAAGTTGGAACAGAGAAAGTGAAAAAACAAAGAATGAATAGTTGTCGAGAAAGAAAAAAAAGCTGAAAAAAGGAGAGATTCAAATTTGTTTTGTAGTAGCAAACTGCAAAAGTGTGGTAATGACAGAGTATGTGAGTGAGAGAAATGGCGGGCTCTGCATTTGAATATTGGATTGTTTGGGAACATGTTACCACGCGGATTGTAAAGTCAATTTTGTACAATATGCTGTCTCCTTGTAGATATTTGGTCACATTTTTAGATAAATTATTGTATAGTGTGAAATGTTACTAATTCACCTATACGTTAGGTATCTCATATATATACACGCTTCACAATGTCAGGCCGTGAATCCATGATCAGCTGGATGGAGACAAAACTTCTTACCATTACACTAATAGAGAAACCGCAATTTCTCTACAAAATATTAATACAAACATACATATTATAACATTTGTGAATTAATTACACAATATGACGGTGCTACGGTCTCACCAATACATTAGTAGTATGTATGTGGTGTGACAGTGTGAAAGGGTTAATATTGGGTGGTGTAGATTCTGCAGTTATTTTGTAATTACTATTTAGGCATGAGGCAAGAGGAGGAGAATTGTGTGGCCAGTTGCTTAATTGAGAAACAGTTTTTGGGATCTGCAGCCCAAGAAGATGATGATCTTTCACTGGTTTGTTCAAACAGGGTCAGCTTTTAGTGGCTAAAAGAAAAGAAAACATTACAGTTTTGGGCCTGGTGGTTAATGCAGTGTTCCCCCGACCGGCCCTTCTGTCATGTGTTTCTTCTTCAACTCTGGTCACATTCCCATCACAATCAATCAGAAGCCATGGCAATTGCATTGTAGCTACCTTACAGAACAAGCAAGGCAGGCTATGACTTTCTGCATACAATTTGGAGGCTTGCCAAATGATATTTTAGATTAATCTTTTCCTCGTGTGTTGTTCATTTCTTCTTCTATAGAAACATATGGCGAAAACTCATTCAACTGAGCCTTTATTGTATTCAGATGGCTTGATATGTCGGTTTCAGTTTCAGAACAAATATACAAAATTAGAGGAATTGTAAATTTTATAATAAACGGAAGAGATCAAAACATTTTTAGCTCCAAAAGATTACGAGGACTTTATCTTCTCATAAAATCTAAGACGCTTTGAATCAGTCTGATAATACACAATATCTCCTGTGTCACTGACATAGTGATCCTCTTTCATACTTGCAGCTAAAATCTTCGCCAAGTGAAATGGAATTGGGCCTGATTTTTCTGGCTCGCGATAATATTTCCCAAGAACATGCTTAGCTGCCTTTGTCTGCAAGATAATTATTCAAGCATGCAAATATTCAAAATCAATGGTTCAAAACCACCAAATGAAGCAACAAATGAATAAACCAATCTCAAGTAATGGAGAACATACTGCTTCTACTAGGTGATAGTGTGGGATTTGAGGGAACAGGTGATGTATAACATGGGTCCCAATATCATGGTGAATTTTATTAAACCATCCGTAATCGCGATCAATAGTTGTAAGTCCGCCTCTTAGGTAACTCCATTCCTGAAAAAACAACACTGTTTTGTACATAAGCACAATACAAAACACGTTTCTTTTCTTAAAGTACAAACAAAAAAAATTTACCTCACCACGGTACCAAGGGAGTTTCGTCTCATGACCATGGTGATGCAAGTATGTGACAATGTCCAACCACATAACAAAAATCTGTAAAAATTAGAGCATGATCAAAAGACAAAAATATATAACAAAAACAATTTGGATTAGATAGTACTAGTTAACAAAAAAGAACCCAATTACTTACCCAATAAGGAACAAAGTATAATTTGAGCATTTGGATAGGACCAAACACAATGGACAAATGGAAAAGCAAAGCAGCCATAATAATCCAACAAACAGTTGATGTTATAACATAACTTGTTTCATTAGGAGAGAACAGGTCGCTGCTAGGATGGAAGTGAGTGCCTTCTTTACCAGGAGCTCTATACCACTTCAGTGATAAAAGCAAAAGCAAAAATTAGAAGCTAATTAATCACAGACTCAGAAGATCAATCTGTATGATTGAATTAAGAAGTCCAACCAGATAGAGGGGGAAAGAAAAGAATGGAAAAGGCATTGTGAATCTCAGCGTTTTGGTGCTGCTAGGCAAGCTTTTGTACAAAGACTCTGTCATCTAAAACAAACAAACCCGAGTTAAGGAAATGCAAAATTGAATATCAAATACAAAGCATTAGAATATAACTGAGATAATAAGAGAAACACTTACTGGAACCCAAGACTCATCATTCTCAACATGTCCATGGTTCTGATGGTGTGTTTTATGGCTGATTCTCCTGTAAGTATAAATTGTGATGTTAATAGTTATCAAGAAATTATTGTGCACATGTACCAATTTATGGTATATGATCCATATTTTGTCAATAGAACGTGGATATTTTTCCCGAATACAAGCGATAGTTAAAGCTATGAGGGGAGGGAAATTTATCACACACACAAACTACCAAAGTGTCATGGGAGTTAGAACATGAGACGGTTGATGTGTAAGTCGAGACCCTTTTCTATTAGCCTAGTTGATAATGGTACTTGATACCAACCAATACTCCCCTATCTCTAATAAAACTATTTAAACCACATTTACAATGCTTGTATGAAGCTTAGGGTACAAGAATTTAAAGAAATATGGAGGAACCCACCAGCCATGAAAAGGAACAAGAATTGCAGAATGCAAAATATGCCCCACAAAACTATTGAGCCAGCGAGAGTCTGAGAAGCTTCCATGGCCACAATCATGTCCAATAACAAATACAGCCCAAAACATGGTGCCTTGGGCAGCCCAATAGAATGGCCAAACATACCAAGTGCTTGAGTATTTGGCTATGGCTGCCAGTGCAAAAATGACAAAAATATCTCTAACAGCATAACTGAAAGACCTCCTTGGATTTTTAACCCAACAGTGTTTGGGAATTGCATCCCTAATCTCGGCAATCTTAAATGGCGGAGGAGCACTTGGGTCAAAATCAGCTTGGCCTCTGGTCACCTTAGTCTCCATATCTGTGTAATCATCTAAATGAAAAGAAAAAAAACAAAAAATTAATTAACAAGAAAATATTGATTATAAAATTAAAACTACAAGAAATACAGAGGAAATGAAAGAGGGCTACTTACAACAGATACTCTTGATCTTGGAGTCTCTAATAATGTGACACTTTGATATGGTTGATTAAGGGGTTGGCTATTTATATGTGTTTAGGCTCCTAATTAAATCTTAATTATGCTTTCAAAATGAATGCATGATTAATTAAATATTTAACCAATGAATTTTCTGTGGCATTTTTTTTTTGGAAAGAATTTCTTTTTGGGTAAGTTGTCTCGTAAGATCGCACACTTCTGTTTTAATATAAACTCGGTTTCATGGTGAGGTAGTTGTGCTTTTTTTTGTTGGTGGGCAAATGGCAGTTGTGCTTGTGATAGAAGAAGAGCAGCTAAGATAAAGCTTCTGTGCGGTTACTGATGCAGCACGGAAGCGTAAACTAGAAGAAAATCTATGTATTCAATTAGGAAGGGTACCTTGAATCCACAAGGAGGAAAAAAAAAACACTCTTAAAGAGAGAGTTATTTAGTTTATAGTGAAGTTGAAAATTGGAATGACAGATTAAGGGTACAACTAGCCACCCTTAATTTAGCTATAGATGATGCATGAATCATAGGCAAGTGCATACATGAACTAGAGTATTTATGAATAGTTATTAATAAAGGCTTAACTAGTGATTTGCCCCCTGAACTTGTATATAGCTTTCGATTCAGCCCTTATTCTTTTTTTTATTTTATAGATAATTAAGGATATGAATTTCTTTTTTTGGCCAATTTCCCCCCTACAGTCTAAATTCTCAACATTTCATCCAATTTTTAATTAAATCATTTAAAAAAAAATTGAAGAAAAAGACTAAACCTAGTGCCAACCCCTTCCTACCCCTAACCCGAAGAACCTAGTCCTCCTTCCCTTTCCGTCTCCTCCCCTCTTCATCCTCCTCTTCCCCTCCTTCCCCTTCTATCTCCCCCACCCTCCCCCTTTGATCTCTCTGTCACCACCCTCAATCGTAATATATAGTATGGCAAATACGAGGTCATTCCCACGAGGATTGAGTTCAACTTCCAATTAGTCCAACCTAATTTACTTCACAAAATACTTTAACTACTCTAATTATATAAACAAGAAATTAAACACGTAGCATACTCACGTAAACACAAAAGGGGTTTGTGAAAGAACGATTTAATTACCAACAAAATTAAAAGACAAAACAAGTAGAAAGTCAGAAATTCAAATTAATAGAAGCACTAGGACAATGAATTCACCACTAATAATCCGATCTAGCCTCGTATTCACCTACCTATTAACTAACCATTTGATGTCGCCGCTTAGTTTTCCTTTTTCATGAATTACCTATGGTATTTATGATAACTCGTATATTCCCACATGCAATTCGCCTATGATATTTAGGTCAAATATCAACACATAGAAACTCATTAAGATTAGTGAAAACCTCCAACAAGCATGTAAACCTTAGGAGTATGGTATTTACCCTAGACGAATTATAAATCATAATCACAAGAAGCAAGCCTCAAATTAAGTATTTACTCTAATTTGCATCCGATTAACTCAATTAAAAGTCTAGATGGTGATCAAGCATCAAGATAATCAACCAAGTTATTAAGCACAGTGATTAAGAATCCAACATCAAACGGCAATCAATAGATAGGTAAAATAAAAAAAACTAGATTATCATACTAGAGCTACATCATACCCTAGCAAAAGAAAATTAGTTACACATAATCATAGATTCGACATAAACAAAAACATAAGGAAGAAACAATAAAACTTAGCCAATTGCTATACTCTTCCGGCATCTCCAATTTCTCCTAGTCTTTGCGTGTGTAATTCCCCCAAAGAAGTTGTTTCTCATGCTTAAATAAAACACCACACGTCTATTCCTACTATAGCTGGGTTTTTACAGCAGCCCAAAAATAAAGAAAAACCTCATTAAAAAATCAATCCAAAATGGGTAAGTAATTGACTCCTCTTCCTACTTGGATTGGGATAACACGTCAATTACTTTGCATGCACGTTTGGGGTTGTTCTTCCTCCAAGAAAATTCAGAAAAAATATGTAAATTGTAGATCTTTGTCTTATCTTTCCAGCCATATATCGCACGCCTTGAGGAAAAATTAGCAAAGTCTTCAAATAATCATTCTTCCATAGCAGCACAGTTTTGACGGAATTGCACCTTATGTTGACTTAACTTCAAAGATTGCTCTCATTGGCTGCTCCAAAAATTCTAGAAAAATTCCATAATCATCTTCAAGATCTTAGCTTTCATATCCAATGGGTCTTGTTAACTCCACTAAAAAGTCATATTTCCATTGAAAACCATTTACTTGCTCCAAAAAGCTGAAAATTGAGAAAATAAAGTAATAAGTCTTTTTTAAACCAAATTCTCCTACAAAAACTAAGTATAAAGAGTACATAAATGTGTAAATTTATGGACTTATCAAATACCCACAACTTAGATTTTGCTAGTCCTCGAGCAAAATAAAATGAAAAATAAAAACTAAAGAACACAGATAATCACCAACCGTTAGCTAACTTCCAAGAAATAAGCAACAATAACTCAAGACATTATAGGGTTAACCAAACTTTAATTGAACAATTTGGATGTAGTGTGTGAAATATCCAACATTAATACAACTCACGACTTAAGCTTCACATAAGTTAAATAACCAAATATTTAACTTCAATTCTCACCAAGGATGTTCACTCCAATGTAAACATTCGAAATTTGACTAGGTGGTGTCACTCATATATGTGAGAAGAATCAAATCAATAGGATGTACTCACATAATTGAAATAAAGGCACATGACATAGATAAAAGATCTCATGGAAAGATATCGCATATTTGAAAACATTTAAACCATCCGACCATAGTCCTTTCACACCTATTCTCCACATGAGGAACCACACTTCTACTTGAATCAAGTAGGACTTTCACTAAGGTGTAATGGGGCTTAGGGTGATGGGTGAAACAAGATCTTAGCTTTCATCTCCAACTGGTCTTGTACTAAAATTCCACAATCATCTTCAAGATCTTAGCTTTCATCTCCAACTGTTCTTGTACTAAAACTCCACCAAAAAGTTGTATTTCCGTTGAAAACCATTTACTTGCTCCAGAAAGCTAAAAATTGAGAAAACAAAGTAATAAGTCCTTTTTAAACCAAATTCTCCTACAAAAACTAAGTATAAATAGTACATAAATGTGTAAATTTATGGACTTATCACCTAGACCCATCCCTCAACCCTTGCCCCCCAAGACCCAGACCCATTCCATCCCTTGCCTCCAGACCCAGACCCATCCCTTCCCTTCCTTCCAGCGGTGACAACAGATCCCTACTCCCACCCCCAACCCACAAAACCCAACCCGCACCTGCACACACACACAGACAGAGAGAGAGAGAGAGAGAGAGAGAGAGAGAGAGAGAGAGAGAGAGAGAGAGAGAGAGAGAGAGAGAG